ACTTTTCAATGATTTGTTTTTCTCAACAATCAACTAAATGTATTTAAGGTTAATCTTGATCATCTTAACTTATCATATTGTAACCTAATTTTAATCAACAATTTAACTGTCACTTGTTAACAATTAGCTAACCTAATTGTAATCATGTAAATACATGATAATAATAATAATAATATTGAAATAGATTAACATTGAATTAAATATGAAACAATATCAATCCAAGAAACCGGATTAACCAATATATTGATTAATAACAATCATCATCATTATTTAACTAAATCAATTAGATTTCATTATGAAACTATTAACATTATTTTCATTGACTGATTTAATATCAATATTATTAATATTTTTAAGGAAAACAATTTTTTAATCACAATCAACATAATCAAAAACCACTCCCAATCAACAAACTGAATCAATATAAATCAACCTAAAGGTAATCAATATAATATATATTTCATGATGGTGATGAGGATGATTTGTTGATGATGATTTCAATTTCATCATCAACTCAGAAGTTATATTTGATTATCAATAAACATTATAATCTAAATATATACAAGTAACATTTAATTTTTCTTACGCTAAATGTTATTCATCAACTAATTGTGATTAAATTGTAGGCACACACCTTAATCTGGTTCCTTAAGCCTTAAAGGTAACAACAGTTAAATATTATCATCTTCATCCTCATCTTCAATTGTGTAGGATTTTAAATCTACATCATGTAGGATTTGTATTATGTGTATTATTATCAATGAATGGGTTGAATTGGATTAGCAACTTTAATAAGTAACAATTAGTTGATTATTATTAATCTTCTCATTACAATATTGATCGTTGGAGGAAAATTAACTTTCAAATCAACTCAACTTTTCAATTGCTGCTCATTAATTGTCGCTGATTTAATGATTGTCATCATTTTGGTAATGGTAATGATGATGATGATGATGATGATGATTAACTGATGATTAAATCTATCATCATCATGATCACTGATCCTTTTGATTGATTAGCTTTTAATCTTGATTAGCTTTGTTTCAATTGTTGATTAGCAACTTGAAATGTTGGACTTGATTTTGATTTAATTGTTGAGACTCACATCAGGATTTATCAAATTTTGAGGTTGATTGTTGATTTGATTTAGTTTCATTAATGTTATTATTTAAACACCTTCTAACTGTTAGCAATCAAAATGATCAAAATCAATTGATAACAATTTGACATTATTAACTTTCAGTAATTTGTTTTACTAATTTAAAACTAATTAAACTTTCAATTGATGATCCTAATTAACTGGATTAATAAATTTCTACCATTAATTTGACCTTAATTGCCAATTCTTAATCATTATGGTTTTTAACACTTAATTGGTTAATTTATTATCATGTCAATGAGTTGAAATGTCGTTAATTGTGATTGGTGTTAGAAACTTTTAATTACGTTGATTAAAAATTTACTATTAATTGTTAGCAAATCATTGAAACTTTGATAGCTCACGATTTCTCATCATTAATCTTGATTTAATTTCTTCATTCATAATTATTAAATCAACAGATTTCTATTGATGATTAGTTGATTAGTTCACATGAGATTTAAATAGTAAACAATTAACAAAAAGTGAAATTCATGAATAGAAGTGAAAATTTTGTTTCTCTTTAATTAAATTAACTGCACGTTGTTAACTAAATTTTAATTGTTGATTGTTGTTTATAATCAATGAGTGAGTTGGTTAATTTGATTGAAAACTGTTAATTTGATTACAACAACAATCTGTTAATGGTTGATTATATTTACGATTTTTTTTTGTATGTAAATTGATTAGGATAAAAAAAAGTTTTCAGCTTTTGAATTTAATTTACACAATTAATTGATTGCTGTTGGATGTGTGCAATTAGATTAAAGTAGCTTGATCACTAATCTTTAATTGTGATTGATTGTGAAGCAAACAATCAATGGTTAATCAGGTTAATAATCATCATCATCATCATCACCATCATTCCGATTATCATAATTTACTTTTATTATTACTATTGATCAGATTAATCTAAATTCAATTGTTAATCAACATATTTAATGAAAACTTGTAAACAATCAAAGTCAATTGTAAAACATTTTAACATGAAAACAAAAATTTGAACTAATTAACAGCAATCAAAATTGATTGTTGTTGTTATTAAATGTGATCAATGAGAATCACGATTTACATAAATAACAATGAAAATGAAAAAGTTGATTACTCGTTTTGTTGATTGTTGATATATTTTTGCTGATTAAATGTTGTATTCAAGGGAGTGGACACAATCAAAAGTATTAAATCATTATAATTATAATCATGAGGTAAATGATTAACTTCACAATTAACTCATTGACTGTTATCATTTAGTTTTGTCTTGATAAAAGTTGAAACAAATTTTCTTGTTTTCAGTTACTTTGAATCTAAATAAGTTGCGCTTCTGCATCCATCATCATTATCATCCTCATCCTCATCCTCATCCTTTATCCTTTAATCATTATAATCAGATGATTAAGATGGTTTAGTTAATCCTTTCACTCTCTTCCTCATCATAATCATCATGAATTTCAACCCAAGCCCAGAAAATTTGATTCTTACAAACGAGACTCAAGGTAAAAGTTTTGTTTCACTCATCCAACTAAATAGTAAAATCTTAAAGTTGTTAATTGTTTTAAAAGCTAATTTACTAATCATAATCAAGGAAGAAAGTAAATCTAGACAACAATCATGATGATGGTGATGATAAAGAATAGAAAGTGAAACAAAAACGAAAAATAAACTTTACTGTTCACTATTCAATTAATGAATAGAGAATTTGGTTCTAACGAAATCGTTGGAAAACTTTTTTTTCGTTGGTGTTCAAGTCTCTTTTTCCGTTACGAAAATGAAGTTATCAAAGTTTCTTCATTTTCGTTTGTAACGTTAACGACTATTAATATTACGCCATTCGTAGTAACAATTAACGGTTGACGATTAAAAATTTATGATAGTTAATATTAGTTAATCATTTTCGCTTTCACTTTAAATCAGAAATAGTTTTCACGATAGTTAAATTGTTGATTTAATAATCAACAGTAGCTGTTAAAATGAAACATGAGCATCAATTTGATTAAGAAACAAAAAAAGTTTCACTTGTTTAATCAACAATTAACTCTTTACTTTTGTTGTTGTTGTTGTTGTTGTTTTTGTTTCTTAATCACAATTAACTATGTTGACGATTCAATCAATCACGAAGATGTAAGATGCTGTTGTTAATTAACTTTTACAACCATCTGATAGTTTGATTTTTAATTAACATGCTAATCATCAACTGTTACCTTACAATTAATCAGAAGCTGCAACAATAAACAACAAACAACTTACAATTAATTAAATTGTTTAGCTTTCCACAATTAATTGAAAGTGAATTGATTTTGTTTTGATTTTTGTTTCTTAATTGTTATAAAACTTTATGATTAGTAAATTGTTTTTCCCTTTTGTTTTTCATTCCCAGACAATTTAAAATGGATTTCATTTAATAATTAAATAATTCAGGTTAATCGTGATGATTTATTTTTTTTCATTGATATTTGATTGTTACTTTTAATTACCAAAGTAATCAACAATCCACGAGCAATTAATTTAATTGTAACCATTTATATAGCAATTTTATATTAAAATATATTTACTTTCCAATTGTTCAGCTTAATCCAATTAACCTTAATTGCTTTGGGATAATTAATTGTCAACAACAACAGCAACAAGGAATTGGAAAACAATTAACCGACTAAATCTAAATAAAAATTTAAATACTCGGATTATTTTCAATTAGAAAACAAGAATCAAAAGTTATCGTGATTGAAACAATTAAATATTTTGATACGATGATTAAGGTGCGTTGATAGCTATCAGGTATCGATAGCCAATTGAATAACAATTTGTGAATTATTAATGTTAATCAAACTCTAATAGTAAACAACAATTAACTCAGTTTATGTTAATCAATTGAGGAAAAAGGGATTGAAATCAAAGTCTCAATTAATACTAATCTCCCCCAAAGGGATAATCATAATGAGCTAATCTTATCATGTACTTGACGATGATTTAAGATGAAGAAGATGCTGATTAATTATTATCATCATTCTCATCATGAAGAAGCTTCTTCATCACTGATTAGTTAACAACAATTAAGAAGTTACAGTTTCGAGAAAAGAGAAAACAAATTCTAACAATTAAGAGTCGAGTTTTTTTTCTCTTTCTTTTCTTTCTTTTTTTAATCATCTCTCTTTCTCTATGAAAGTGAAGGCCAATCAATGATGATGATTATCAAGATGATCAAGTTAATTATCAAGTCAACAACACTTACAATTAGTTAATTATAATCGAAGTGGCCATTTGATTTCATGTCTTTTCGAGTCTCTTTTAATTCAATATTTTATATTTTTTTTTCTCAATTCAATCAACAACAATTAACTTACGGCTAAATTTTTGATTGTTGATTAAAAATATAAATACAATTCTGGTTATCATGTTAATTGTTGTTGATTCTAATTATTTGTCAACCAAATCACGTTTCAACATGTTGATAATGATGATGATCATGTTGATTGTTAATCAATTCAACATAATAATATTAACGGTAACAATTAAATAATCAAAAGTTAATCAAATTTTTTTTCATTTTTTTAATCATTCATGACTTTTAATAATATCAAATCAAATCAAATTGTTGTTGATTATTTTTAATCATCATCATCATCGTTATCGTTATCATCATTATCATCAATAGTTAATTTATCTTCCCACCTAATTAATCACAATTAACTTTTCCTTGATTACTATTATTAAATTGACACTTTAAATACACAACCAAGTGACAAATAAAAAACTTACCTTGATTAGATTACAATTAATTACTGTAAACATTTAAGGTGACAATTAACTGATGATAATTGCGACCACACATTCAACAGTTAAAAGTTAGTTAATTGACCGGATTAAGAAAAACAAACATTTAGATTGACAATTAACTTGAAGTTTATTAATTTCTAAGCAATTAAACAATCAAATCAATCGTCAAAGTTTAAATCAACCGATTTAAAGTTGATACCTTTATGAAAAGATTTCTTTGCCTCGAGCATTTGACTTATCAAATCGTTAACTGTTGTAGTATTTTGCAAATCAGTTTCTCGAGGATAATTTATCAATGAACAATATTCTCTATAGCGATTGACCTCAACTGACCTTTTACCTTGGAATGTACCATCTAATATACCACCGAGGACACCAAACACTTCCTCCATACACTTGAGTAGATTGAAATTAACGGAAAGAAAAGTGTTGATATTATTACTAAATAAGCCTAATTGAGTTGTGTCAGTTTTGTCTGATTGTTGAAACAATTTAACTTTACGATTACGAGAAGATAAATATTGTAACAATTGATTGGAAGTTAATTTAGTTATCTGATCAAGATTCTTTCCTTTGGCCATTAAATCAGCTTGAGTTAAACACAATTCCTTTAATTTAGTTCCAGATATTTTATAATGTCCATCACATCCTATTGATATTAAGATGAACAATCAATATTAATAAACAACAATTAACAGATAATCAAAAGGCATTAATCACTTTGTATGTACTTACGGTTGATTAGGTAGACGATTGCAATTGAAACAATTAACATCAATTTCATAATCATGTTGATTTGTTATTTTCAGTGAGTTTCAATTTAAAGTCAATTTGATTTTAACAATTAATTGTAATCAAACTAAATCTTTGCTCAATCCTTTTTATAAGACAATATTTTCACTTCGAGAATCAATTATTAATTGTTAGCAATTAATAATCAACATGTGTATTTCGATTATCACCTTTTAATTGCAAATGAATTAATCTGTATTGGTAAACAACTGAATTAAGTTTAACAATTTAAATTGTCGTTTATATCATTCAATTAATCTGATTGTACTTAATGATGATGAGGCCTAATTATAACTATTTGTTGATTCAAATTAATACAATTTATCAGGCTGACAATTAACTGATGATGATTATGAGGCTTAATTACAATTATCACCTAAACAATTTGAATGAATTAATAATTAATCAGTTGATAATCAAAAGTAATAAACTGATGATAAAATTAACTTTTTCTCAACTTTTACATTTTCCTAATTGTTGAGCTGTTTAAATTTCCAGTTTCAAGTTTAATTAGAAACAATTAACATTTCCAACGATCATGATTAACTTTGATCATAATTTGAATTTTAATCTGATTAATGGTGATTCAGTTTTTCTCGGTTAATTGTAATTTAAATCATATTTGATAATCATCACGATGAATTGACGATTAGTATGAAACAAAATTGGATACACTTTAATTGTTACTAAATTGCTTAATCATTTAGTCTGCCCTTAATAACTTAAACCATTCAGCACAATTTAATTTAATCGATAGTTTTTTTTGTTGATAATAATAAACGTTTCTTAATAACAATTAGTGATTAAAATTGATCACAAGATGAAATTGTTTACCAATCAAAGTCTTAATTGATTATCATCTCTCCGTTAATCACAATCAATAACCGTTATCGTTGTTACAATTAAGTGAGTGGTTGTTATTAATTGTATCTCTATATTTCAATTGTATTGCCAATTGATTTTTACAATTTGTAAAAAGTTAATCTGGTTACAGTTAATTGTTGATAATCAGACACATTGATCAGATAAATTTAAAAGATGATTAAAGTTTTTTTTTAATAATAACCTTTGAAAAACTGATAAAATTTATGATTTTTAATCATGTTAAATTATCATTGACATGAAGAGGTCAGTTCAATATCACTGGTCAGTTTGAAACAAGTTTCAAGTATCAATTTCAATGAATTTCATTTAAATCATGATCATGATGATTGAGAAAAAAAGATTTATCTTATTTAACTGATTACAATCAATAAATTTATTCAAATTGGGGATAAAAATATAACCTCATCATCGTAAATGATTAACACAATCAAAGGGTAACAATCAGTGGTTTTCAAGATTCTGGGTTAACAATTTAACAAAACTGACCCTTCACTTTACACTGGTCAAGCCTTTCAATTCATTCAAATCCTAAGGTTAAATTGTTTACATGAAGGTTAATCCAGTTATCCAATGAATATGATTAACTAACTAATCATTTCCTCATCTCTCCGTGACTTAATATTTACCCGTTGATCAAAGTATTTGATTTCAATGTTAATTAACTTGATTAACTTTTTGTTTTACTTTTGTTTTGTTAACAATTGATTGTTCATCTTTTGGATAATTAATTGTTTTAATTTGATTATTTCGATCCTTTTGTGTTTCCTCATTAATTAATTAACCAATTTGGTAGGTGAGTTTTAGATTAGTTGATTTAATTGATTATTATTAGATTAATTTAATCTTATATTGCTATTGTTATATTATCAATACCCTTAGGCTATTGATTATCATGATAATCAGTGAGTTAATCATCATTAAATATTAATCATTATAAACGATAAAGTTAATTGTTTAAACAATCAATCTAGATCTGTAAAGTTAATCAACTTTTTTTGTTTGTTCATTAATTAATATGAATATTTAAATCTAACTAATCTAATCAAAATATGATTTAATTGTTGTTGTTTAATTTAAATAACAAACACTTTCAATTTTGATTAGCATTCAATATAAAATTTAGGTTTGGTTTGATTAACATTCAAACAATTAATAAATTCATTGAACAGATTAAATAAAAATCTTAATTATTGTAGGTGGTTAATTGATTATTATGCAAGTAAATTAAAATAAATCACTACAGTTTTATATTTAAATGGTGGTGAAATTTAATGGTCAACAATTAACCTGAACTAATCAAAAATCTTACGGAGGAAAAGCTGATCAACAATCAACTTAATTATCAAGTAAAATTTTCATGTTTCGCAAATGATTAGCTAATTGTTGTGAACTGAAAATATTTCAAATTATTAACAATCAAAAGCCTAAACTAATTGTATTCATCATTCAATGATTTAACTTGATTATTGATAAATAATTCACAATCAACAAGGCTTTGAAAACTGACTTAATTGTTTACTGTTAATTTAGTTAACTGTGTATAAATTGTTAACAACAAGAGGAAAACAAATTACCAACAACATTTAAAAGACAATTATTAAATTGTTGGCTATGTTATTAACATCATTAACTGTTAATACAATTTAGTTAACTAACAATCAGCTATTTTCAATCCTAATTGTTTCAGTCGTTTTTGTATCATCATTAAACATCATTAAACATGATGATTAGTAAAATCTAAATCATTGCAACCTTAAATTGTTGGCCTAAGTGTATCAGTTAATTGTTGATGAAACACTAATTGTAGTTTAACCAATTACTATTAATAAAACAACAGTTTCCTAAATAGACAATACAAATTGTTACAATTTGTGGTTACAATTTAAGTTGACAAATTAAATCAGCGTAATTTAAAACGTTTCCTTAATCATTAACAAGCTGATTGTTAATTTTACTCTTCATTTAATGATTAGTATCAAACAGATAATTAAGTTAATTTAGTTCTTTAAATAACAAAACCTTTTAATCAACAATCGGCAATTTTAATTTTCGCAAATCCATTCATTCAATTCATCGCAATTTAATCAATTAACTAACAAACGTAAATTGTAATTTAATTAGTCAAGGAGTGTTTGTATTATTTGATTAACATAAGGAAACTTTTTTAATTGTAATAAAGAAAATGAGAAACACAGGGAAAAAAAAGCAAAACAACAATTAAAACAATTAAAACGATATGAGAAAATGGTAACAATTAAATGTGAACATAACTGAGAAAATGAAAATTGAAAGTTAGTTAAACATAGAAAGTGGTTGATTGATGATTAACTGATTGATTAACATAATAAGATCAATAAAGAGAAAAGGAAAATTAAATTGATACATAAAAATGATGAAATTAATTGTTGGTTAATTGTAAAGCTATAAAAAGAAGCTCCAACTGATATTTAACTTTTTTTTCCAACATAAAAAACTAAAATCTTGTAATCTTGTTGATTAGGTAACACGATTTAGTTGATAACTTGTTGATGATTAGCAAACGTGATGAAATGATTTAGATATTCTGATCATGATCAATATTGATCATTGTAAAATCATTGTAATCATAAAGAGTAGTGTAATTGATTGTCGATTGATCAGTTAAATTGTTCAATCAAAATGAAAAAGAGGAAGAGGAAAATGAATTACCAAAAATATAAAACTGAAAAAGAAACATAAAGAAAAATGAAAAGTAAATTGTGAAAAAAAGTGTTGATTAAAAACACGTTTGTTGATGCTCGTTGATTGTTGTTGATTAATTTGTTGATTGTTTTGTTGATTGTTTTGTTGATTCATAGGAAAAAGAGCCACTTTGTAAGTTTGGGATTGGGTTCCTTGTGAAGAGATTGACCGGAAAGGAAGGCCAGTTTGTGAGCGTATTGACATGGAGCGGGCACTTTAACGGTTCCCTGAAAATGAGAAAAGAGAAAAAGCAAAATTTGATTAGAGGAAATTAATTTTCTAATTGTCATACAATTGATCAATTAACTTACAGCCCAATTATAGTAAAGATGAGTTAATTTGTAGGCCAATTTTTGATGGTTTGTTGGAGTCCAGCCTGATTCATCGCACAAAATGTCAAACATTGTGGGAGCAACTGTACCTTCGGTTACCGATTGACTAACCAGGAAAAAATCGTAACGTTCTTCACGAGTAATAGTACTATCGACTATAGTTCCTGGCGGAGGATTAACAAAACTGTCACCCTTGACGGCAAAGAATCGAGCATTTATCCGTTTGTTGACAATAATAAAGGTCAACGGTATTTTTTTACCTTCGTTACCCCGAAGGATACCTTTTCTTACCATGGCCACTTCCGTCGCATAAATATGAGGAATCATACCCTCTGAGACACCATCTCGATAGACTATTATCCGATCCGGTGGACCACCATTAGCCTCAGCATAAACCGAGAGAGCTTTAGCAGTGTGCATACCCAAATTGGCGGACATTTCTTCACGATTTTCATGGAAAACTACCCTCGAATAATATTTAGTAAGAGTTGAGTTCATTGTGCAAACAAAACCACCAGCTGATCGACCTTTAACCGAGGAATCATGATAAGTGTCAAATCCAATGACCATAATCTTTTTAGGTGGTATATCGAGGTACCAAGGTTCGGCTCCCGCTTTACAGGCAACTTGAATTGCGATTTTGGTACAAATTGAAAGCATACCACCTTTTCTGTTCAAAGTACGACAAGTGACAACTTGAGAGGGTATTGGATGGTCAATACATAGGAATCTTTTAATTGCATCGTATCGATCCTTATTATTGTTTGGAACCAAGCAAACAATTAACTGAGCCTCAGTGGGTATTGCTTTAAGGACGGTAAGATAACTTTGAGCTCGATCATTTTCAATCTTAAATGGTCGAGGATTACCAAAGTTGATACCCATTGGACCACCAACACGAACCATTGAGTTTTTAAATTCAGTGGCAAGAGCTTCATCTCGAGCGGTAAAAATCATTGCCCAACGTTCAAAGTTAATCGGTTTGTATAAAGTTCGTCCTCTCATTTCTCGGGAAAATTCACCATTTTTAATTGTTGATGTTGTATTATTACCCATAATTAGAACTTCATCACTTAAAACTCGACCTTTTACCTTGACCAATTCTTGGTCCATGCTCATTCGCCATCGACCCATCTCATCAATAACACGCGGATTAGTGTTAACTGAAGTACAGAATTGTTTCAATTGAGCAATTCTACCCGCTGGGTTGACTTTCGCTGATGAAGCAACTTGCCTCATAAATAAGTGATCAGCTCTCATTCTATCGGTCAGTCCGGTCAAGCAACACAACTCGGGGCATAAAAGTACCGGTGGTGGGTATTCACCAGTCATACGATCTCTTTCCATGGATACTGCGACCACTAAAGGTTGTCTCATATCACGAACCTCAAGTTCATATTGCTGATAATAATAATCTTTGATACTGACTTCACTGCCATCTTTTTTGGTGAATGTCCAAAGTGGATTCCTTGAGTAGTCGATATCTGATATTCTGTAAGTTTTATTATTGAAATGAGTAATTACGATGGTTCCGGCAAGCTCTTTCTGTGCATCTATCTGCCATCGGGGTGATCCACCGTCTCTGAAACGCATAATCGTTTCTCTGAGTGTCTCTTTACGAATAAATTTAAAAATGGTATCAGTTACTGTTAGAATACCGCCATCGTGAACGTTTACCGCGGTTAGAAAACCACGGAAAATAGAGACACCACCATGTTCTTCTAGATCACGACAAGACTGTTTATCGTAAAAGTAACGGCCGATTAAATGGAGACCAATATGAGCCAGATTACGACGCATTTGTGTATTGTACAAGCGTAACATTTCAAATGCACCATAACCAATGTCACCCGTTTGACGAAGTGTCACATTTATCATTTCACCGGTAGTGTTTAAAACTGGATAAGTAATTGGACTTTCAATATCAACACACGATTTAAGGTTAGACATCCCATCGAAAATGTAAGCATGGCCAAAATGTTCGGCAAGGGTATTGATTAAACGTCGACGGACGAAAATTGCTTCAACGTTTGGCTCGAAGTCAACACGATAGTCGAAAACACGTTCATCATCAGGAACTTTTATACGAAAATAATTTGATAAAAGAGGGATATCACCTCCGCCCGTGCCAATTGTGGTCTGAAAGATTTCCCCAAAGAAACAATCGAAACGAAAAGAAGAGAGAGAGAGAGAGAGAGAGAGAGAGAGAGAGATTGAAAATTTTTCTAAAAAGTTCTACTCTTTAAATGGAAAAACCGAAAAGGGAAAAACTTACCGTTATGTTGGGAGGTTTGGTTATCAGTTGTGGCGATCTTAGTCCACCACGACCTCGAAGTGCTTCACCATTACCACCACCACTTCCGTTTTCACTGGAACTTGAGCTTTCACCCGCCATGGCTTCTTCTTCGGTCATGAAGTGTTGACCGGGAGCAAGAACTCGAGGTCGAGCTCGGGTACCAGGACCTCGAGCACGTCCAGTCATGGTTGACTTTCGGGTTCAATCGTATTCAATATAAAATCTATTAGAATTTATCGAACAATTAAAATGAAAAGAAAAGGAGATTAAACAAATTAAACAATCTCTTGATTAGTAAGATCAAAATACAATTAGCAGGGGAAAAAATGAACGAAATCAGAAAACAAATTTTTTTTTACTAATTTGAACTACACTCAACAAGAAACTAAAGGAAACTGAGGACTTGAATCAAGTGATTTTTTGATTTTAGTTAATTGTTGGGACATAAACAAATTACTAACAATTTAAATGTCCCTGTCTCGTGAGCCGAATGAGTAATTTAGTCCCAAAAGTCCCAATAACAATTAAAAGAAATGTCCCTAAATTGTTTAACACGATTACGAAGGTAGGTCAAAAAAGGGAAAATAGATCGATAAGTTATGAAAGAATAGATTTCAATTGAGAAATTGATTAGGTCTAGATGATTAATTGCTTAATTAAATCCTCATAGATTACTAATCAATGATCATACGATATTTGTATGATTTGATTAGGTCAAACGTTAATTGGTTTATATTAAAGTCTAATTTGTTTTCAAATAATTTTCTTGTCTTGATCAAATTTCATATCAATTGGGAATTGAGATTTGACTGAATTTTCAACAATCAATTACAATCAATGTTGAACAATGTTGAACAATAATCATCACAAGGAAATAAGAAAATTAATTGATTAAATAAATAGTGATGGATAAGCAATTGAAGCTAATTGAAAATCCATCGAAAATCAGAAATTAATATCTAATTGTTATAGAGATTAATTAATCCTTAAGGTAATTGTCTGATTAAATGGTGATGATGATAATGTTGAGCAAAAAGGTTAAACCTTAAATTGATTATCAGAGCTTAATTGGTCTAATCAAATCGTCTGCGGGTTTGAGTAAAATCTTCATATGGTAATCAATTGCTTCCAATGTTAGATGAGCATGGACCCGAATTAAATCATCACCAAGACTTTTGGAATCAATTGATTTAATCAGATGATAAATTGTCTTTAGATGTTCAAGAATAACCTGAATTAAGATGAGATTGGAAAAGGAAAAGAAACAAAAGAGAAGAAAAGTTGAAACATTAAATTAGTGAAAGAAAATTGACAAAAATAAGTCAAACTGTAGAAACTAATTGTTGATTAACTTACTCCAATCGAATCACTATCAAGACCATTTAACATGATGTGCAGGAACATTAGACAAGCTCGTTTAACATCATAACAGGAATCACTTTTCAGTAGAGATTCAATTGCGAAGATAATTTCGCTTAGACAATAAGTGAGTGAGTTTTGAAGAGATGAACAAAATTGACCCAAATTGGATAAACTTGAGACTCTAATTGATTCATGTTCATCTTTTAAACCATTAAGAAAACAATCAACGACTGAACGGTAATAAGAATGAGACATTTGACCTGGAAAAAGAAAGCAAATCGATTTAGAGAAATTAAAAAAAAAAGTTATTAACTCGTAATGAAGATTAGTCTGATTCGCGTTTACCTAAATATTTACAAATCCAGACTAGAGATTCACCAACTGAAACCCGTTCACGAACTGATCGCAGTTTGTCCTGATAGGCCTCGATTAGCGCTGGTAAACATTCATCGGTATTTGCTAGTGACAAAGACGCTAAGGCGTTGACAGCGGCCAGGTAAACATAAGAGTCGGGGTCACTTAGACAGGCTTTGATTAGAGTGAACAATTGATTTCTATCATCAATTGTACTTTGGAAACGGGAATCAATTAAATTGCGAAGTACAATCAGTCCGTGGGCTCTTTGGGGCATAAACGGACTGTTCAGACATTCTAGCGCTTCTTTGTACTTATGATCGATTGGATTTGTTGCTGATTGTTTTGAGGTTTCACTTAAATTGTTGATCTGATTGGTTAGTTTTACAATTTTCTCTTTCTCCGAATCTGTTAGGTCACTTTTTTTGAGAGCTTGTTCCAAGTGAACTTTACATCCTTTGATATTCGAGATTTCGTCATTCGAAAGCTGATGAGAAAAAGAGAGGGAGAGAAGAAAGTGATTAGTGAGATAATTGTTTTAACTCTAAATTGTAATTTACTTTTTCTCTTGCTTCCACGAGAATTGAGACAATTTGTATAATCGTTGATAAAGAATCATTATGTAACATCTTTGAGCTTTCATCGATCTCGTTTTCCTCGCCGATGTTGAGTTCTTCTTGATTTATTATCGATTGAATTGATTTTGTATCATTTGAAGTTACTCTTTTTAGAGTATTGATGATAAATTGTATTGCCAGTGATGGATTATCAAGAATTAAGGTGGAAACTTTTTCTTGTAAACAATCAACAAGTGAGAAAAGAAGCAGTTGATTTGTTGATTGTTCAACTTTTTCCAATAGAAGAAGGAAAAATTTTAAACACTTTTCATCTTCTAAATCATTTAGAAGCGTTAGTGTAGCTTGAACAATTTTATCGATTAGTTTAAGGTCAGTCGTCGGATCTGTGATCAAATCATCATCATCATCATCAGCTTTAAGAATCGTCAACATTTCCTCATCATCAGAGGTGATTATCCCGGTTTTATATTGGTTGATAAGCTGTAGATGATTGTTAATTGTATTGTCCAACATATACAACGAATGGTCAACATATTTCAACATGTTAATGACAATTTCCTTGACTAGATTTCGATGAGGAGATAAAGTGTCACTTAAGATTATGTAGATTACAAAGATATTGGGAAAAACAGGAATGAAAATGTTTGAATCAAAATTGCTCAACATAAGACGATGAATACAGATAATACCATCAATCGCCGTTAGTTCTGAAGCTTCTTGACCATTGATGGAAAATAGTATCGGCTTTATTAGGTGATCGTGACCCAATGAACGTCTTTGGTTGTAGAGAGACGAGAAAATTTCTGAGGCGAGTCTCCATAGGTGACCATTAGCTGAATTCTTTTGAGATAAATTAAGAATTTTGAACAATTGTAAGGACAAATTGTGATAAAAATCTTCTATTGGACAGCAAAGACCCGGCATATTGACAATTACGGTACTTAGGGCTCTAAATCGTTGATCAAAGTTAGTCTTCAATTCCGAAGTAGAATCCAAATCACAGGTTCCATGAATAAAGCTAAGTAAACCATCTTTACCCATCAAAATGGTGGACAATAGATGACCAATTTTTGGACGATATTTGACCATATCTTCCCCTCTAAATAGAAGTAACAAAAGTCTCATAATTAAATTGTCTTTATCGATTTTGAAACTTGACACTTTAGAATTGACGGAATCCATTTTGTTTGCTTCTTCTTCCATGATAATTAATTCACGCTCAATATCTTTCAACAAGAGACAAGGAGGTTTACTAGAAGATTCCCCTTCCATCTTAACTATTAAAACACTTGAAAATAGAAATCAATGTAGAATTTAATTGTTAATTGTGACAATTTAATAAAAAAGTTACTACGAGAAAATTTTTCAAAAAGAAAACAAAAAATATCTGATCCACGAAAAGATATCGAATCCATTTGCCGTTAGAATAGCTGATTCGGTCTATTCTTAGAGAAATTAATTGTGATTTTATAGGAAAAGAGGGCAAATTACAATTGATTTAGATTGTAAATTAATGGTATAAAGGTTCATAGACGGGCAATGAGTTAGCATTGAAAAAAAACGTTTTACTGACAGTGTTTTGGGAGATACAAAAATGGATTAACTGCAAAAGTGATAAAAGTTTGATTATAAAACGTTTGAAATATTAAATCAAGTGAGTGACAATTAAAAATGAAAGAATAGTTAATTAAATAGTATTAAGATTGTTGGAGATTATAAATGAAGAGAGGAATGATGATTAAATTGATGATTATATGAGTAGGTTTTTCCATTAGTAAGTTGAGGATTGTGATGATGGATATGGAAAATGATGGTGAACAATTGGATTATAATCTCGATTGTAGTTGGAAGTGTAATTGTTGAGACAACTTTTAATTATTCCAGAGAAATTGTAGATTTTGTGTAGTAAATCCATGTGTCCATTCCAAAGAGTAATTGCTGACGATGATGGAGAAGAAGAAGATGATGAAGAAGAAGAAGAAAAAGTTGATGAAGTTGATGATTTAAAAGAGGAACATTTAGAGATTAATGTTGATGCAAATTGTTCTCGAGAAAAGTTAAGTGTTAAAAGAATTAAAATCATCAAAGGTAAATCTTTTTCGATTAAATTGTAACGTTTCAATTCTTTAGCCATTTGGAACATTGTAAATCGAATACCAGAAAACCGATCCTTTCAATTGTTCTTCAATAATTTGTCTTCCATTCGGCCAAAGGATTGAATTACTTTCACAATCAAAGTGCAAAAGAATAAATAAAATCGCAATACAATGAGCCGCTTCTCGTACACCAAGGAATCGACATTCAGCTGATAATGAAGTAAATGGTGGAAGACGAGATTCAAAGTAGATCAATTTGTTTGTCATTCGAAAATGAAATTGAACATATGAAATGTAGAAAGTGTCACATGAACCCGAATCAATACATTCCACGTAATTAATCATCATTGGTTTCAGAAATTCACTGTAATATGAATTTAAATTGTTGAACATATTTTCCAAACTATTGGCACGTAAACTCCGTTCAAGCGAATCATCATTTGCTTTATTTAAACAAATATCAGGATTCATTCCAATTTTAAGGCATCGACGTAATCGACATGATCGACAACATTTCCGTCTATTAGAAGCATCAACTGGACAATTATCGTTGTTTGATTTACATGCATATTTCATTCCTTTCATAACTGATCTTCTAAAAAAACCTTTACAACCTTCGCATGTAAATGCATTATAATGTCGACCAGTTGATTTGTCACCACAAACTTGACAATGTTTAATTATCATTGTCGATGTCGATGTCGTTCTACCTGATCTTGTTGTATCATCTGCAAAAAAGATAAATAAATATTCAAATATTAGAATATTAGAATAAATGATGAAATCAAAATGAAAAGAATAAGAATAATAAAAAGAATAACAATTTTACCTTTATCACTTTGATTAGAATTATTTAAAATTCCATCAGAACCACCACTTGTATCAATAATCAATTCTCTCGTCATCTCCGTCAAGATTATCATCATAATCTTCATCTTCATCATTCTCAGATTCGTTGTCGTCATTATCGTCATAATCTTCCTCTCCTTCTTCTCCTTCACCTCCTTCTTCATCATTTCCATTCAAATTATCACCAACATTTAGATAATTATTATATTGATAATCATTTTGGCGTTTAATTAATTGCAGTGCTGAACATTCATAGTCATTGGATGATGAATTTAGTCCAGGTAATAAAATAGGTTTACGATCAATTAATTCTTGTTCAGTCTCAATTGTATTATTACCACAACCAACATTCCAATGTTGATTCAATGGTTGATGATAATTAATCGGTGAACTCAAATTCTCCCAAGTAAAATGACCACTACCTGTAGAAGAAGCACTTAAAATTTGAGAACATTCATCACCAGAATATGAGAAACACCACCAATTCCATTCAATCCAATTCCTAAATTTCCATCATTAACACCAACACCAACACCACCACCATTGTTATAATAAGAATTTGAATAATCTGTTCCATCAATCAGAGTAGATGAAAGAAAGGGTGAAGAAAATGAAGAAACACCAAAAGATGAACCAACAATACCAGAAGGAGAAGAACAAGATGGCGACAAAGATGGTAGATGATCCGATGTGATTAAAGAGGAAGAAGAAGGTGAACCTGAAGATGAATACCAATTATTAGGTCGAGAATAATCAACATACGGAGAAATATGTTGATATTGATAACAATCAGGACCATAATCAATTTGATTTCCAATCGAAGGTAACAAAGTAAATCTTGAATTTTCCATAATCACAATTAAAGATCAGAATCATCAAAATACACCAACAAACAAACAAACAAAAAAAACGAAAAGAACGTTAAACAAACAAAGAACAAATTCAAAAAAAAAGAGATAAAAACAATCAGACAAACACAAACTTAAGAATAGAACAAAATAAAACATAGAAAAAATTGTTACATCAGATTAATTAGAACGCCAATTAAGATCTTGATGCGAAAAAAGTATCAAGACAAAGGGCAACAAATGAATAAGAGAATAGAACAAAAAAAAACAAAGTTAACTCTTTTTCTATTAATTTTGAATATAGAAAATATTTCAGTCATATAATAATCACAGTTCAAGGTTTCAATTAAGTTTTGACCTTAATTGCTGTTTGATAGAAACACTTTTCTTATCAGTTGAGAAAGTTAATCATCGGACAAACGAAATTAACAAGTGAAAATAAATTGTCTTCTCTGAGAGAGACCACCGACTAATTTAAATTGTGAGAAAACAAATTAAACGAAGACAGAGAAAAGAAAGAGAAATTGTTACAATGTAACATTTGCGAAAAAACCTCCTCTCTTTTGTTTCCCTTTCGACCAATTAGAAAGTGACCGACCATTCGAGTTAATTGTTAACCATTTTCTTTCTGAGATTCTGTCTAAATGTTTTCTTTTTGAAATAATTGTCTTAATTGGCGTTCTAATTAATCTGATGTAACAATTTTTCTGTTTTATTTTGTTCTATTCTTAAGTTTGTGTTTGTCTGATTGTTTTTTATCTCTTTTTTTGAATTTGTTCTTTGTTTGTTTAACGTTCTTTTCGTTTTTTTGTTTGTTTGTTTGTTGGTGTATTTTGATGATTCTGATCTTTAATTGTGATTATGGAAAATTCAAGATTTACTTTGTTACCTTCGATTGGAAATCAAATTGATTATGGTCCTGATTGTTATCAATATCAACATATTTCTCCGTATGTTGATTATTCTCGACCTAATAATTGGTATTCATCTTCAGGTTCACCTTCTTCTTCCTCTTTAATCACATCGGATCATCTACCATCTTTGTCGCCATCTTGTTCTTCTCCTTCTGGTATTGTTGGTTCATCTTTTGGTGTTTCTTCATTTTCTTCACCCTTTCTTTCATCTACTCTGATTGATGGAACAGATTATTCAAATTCTTATTATAACAATGGTGGTGGTGTTGGTGTTGGTGTTAATGATGGAAATTTAGGAATTGGATTGAATGGAATTGGTGGTGTTTCCTCATATTCTGGTGATGAATGTTCTCAAATTTTAAGTGCTTCTTCTACAGGTAGTGGTCATTTTACTTGGGAGAATTTGAGTTCACCGATTAATTATCATCAACCATTGAATCAACATTGGAATGTTGGTTGTGGTAATAATACAATTGAGACTGAACAAGAATTAATTGATCGTAAACCTATTTTATTACCTGGACTAAATTCATCATCCAATGACTATGAATGTTCAGCACTGCAATTAATTAAACGCCAAAATGATTATCAATATAATAATAATTATCTAAATGTTGGTGATAATTTGAATGGAAATGATGAAGAAGGAGGTGAAGGAGAAGAAGGAGAGGAAGATTATGACGATAATGACGACAACGAATCTGAGAATGATGAAGATGAAGATTATGATGATAATCTTGACGGAGATGACGAGAGAGAATTGATTATTGATACAAGTGGTGGTTCTGATGGAATTTTAAATAATTCTAATCAAAGTGATAAAGGTAAAATTGTTATTCTTTTTATTATTCTTATTCTTTTCATTTTGATTTCATCATTTATTCTAATATTCTAATATTTGAATATTTATTTATCTTTTTTGCAGATGATACAACAAGATCAGGTAGAACGACATCGACATCGACAATGATAATTAAACATTGTCAAGTTTGTGGTGACAAATCAACTGGTCGACATTATAATGCATTTACATGCGAAGGTTGTAAAGGTTTTTTTAGAAGATCAGTTATGAAAGGAATGAAATATGCATGTAAATCAAACAACGATAATTGTCCAGTTGATGCTTCTAATAGACGGAAATGTTGTCGATCATGTCGATTACGTCGATGCCTTAAAATTGGAATGAATCCTGATATTTGTTTAAATAAAGCAAATGATGATTCGCTTGAACGGAGTTTACGTGCCAATAGTTTGGAAAATATGTTCAACAATTTAAATTCATATTACAGTGAATTTCTGAAACCAATGATGATTAATTACGTGGAATGTATTGATTCGGGTTCATGTGACACTTTCTACATTTCATATGTTCAATTTCATTTTCGAATGACAAACAAATTGATCTACTTTGAATCTCGTCTTCCACCATTTACTTCATTATCAGCTGAATGTCGATTCCTTGGTGTACGAGAAGCGGCTCATTGTATTGCGATTTTATTTATTCTTTTGCACTTTGATTGTGAAAGTAATTCAATCCTTTGGCCGAATGGAAGACAAATTAGTGAAGAACAATTGAAAGGATCGGTTTTCTCTGGTATTCGATTTACAATGTTCCAAATGGCTAAAGAATTGAAACGTTACAATTTAATCGAAAAAGATTTACCTTTGATGATTTTAATTCTTTTAACACTTAACTTTTCTCGAGAACAATTTGCATCAACATTAATCTCTAAATGTTCCTCTTTTAAATCATCAACTTCATCAACTTTTTCTTCTTCTTCTTCATCATCTTCTTCTTCTCCATCATCGTCAGCAATTACTCTTTGGAATGGACACATGGATTTACTACACAAAATCTACAATTTCTCTGGAATAATTAAAAGTTGTCTCAACAATTACACTTCCAACTACAATCGAGATTATAATCCAATTGTTCACCATCATTTTCCATATCCATCATCACAATCCTCAACTTACTAATGGAAAAACCTACTCATATAATCATCAATTTAATCATCATTCCTCTCTTCATTTATAATCTCCAACAATCTTAATACTATTTAATTAACTATTCTTTCATTTTTAATTGTCACTCACTTGATTTAATATTTCAAACGTTTTATAATCAAACTTTTATCACTTTTGCAGTTTCTTAATCCATTTTCGTATCTCCGTAAGTACTGTCAGTAAATTTTGTCCTCGAAGCGCTTGGACTCTCAATGGATTCAATCTTTACACCGATTGTTTAGTTTGTTTGCACTTTTATTTTGATTGCTTTTCTCTCAATAATTATCACAATTAAAAAAAAAATTTAAGGAAATTTTGTTCTAGAGAAAAAAAAAATCACTCATTTACATCGGTTTTACATGTCACCAAACCCAAAGAAGATGATGACTTTTCCATTGGAGATTCACTTGAAGCCGCTCGATTAAATGACCTTTGGCTCTTCAATGGCGCGGGCACTTGAGTCTTCGGTTTTTGTTCATCAAGGTGTAAACCAGAATCTTCCGATAATGATTTTTTCAAATGAAGACATAATTGATTTTCTCTTTCTGTTAATCTTTCATATTCTGAAACCTTTTGATGAAGTAAACGCTAAAAGAGAAGACAAAGATTTTGATTGATTATTTTTCTCTTCTTTACATTAAAGGTTAAGCGTAATTACCTTTAATTTTAGATACTTGATGTGTAATTCAACTTTACGAACACAATCTTCAAATAGAACAACCATTCTCATGGTTTTCTCACAGCTTTGAATATACTTGACCAATGTCCGATGATCAGCTCTCTCCATATCTCGACCATTAATTGACAATATTACATCTCCTGGTCTCATTCCTGCTCTAAATGCTGGACCATTTTTATCAACATAATCAACGTATGTTAACAATTCAATTTCACCATCTTTTCTATGATGTATCCCATAAGTCTATAAAAGAGAAAAGAACAAAAGAAAAACAATTAGATTAAACAATTAAATTGATTAAACCAAAGACTTACCTGTAAGGTGAATCCAAAGGAAGAATTTTTTCTCTCAACAATTATCGTCCGTCGACGTCGATCTTCATCTGATTTAATATAATTCATTAGGAGCACCTTAAGCACAGTATTACAGTTAAATCAAGAAAAGCACAAAATGGTGAAAAACACCGAAATAAAAAATCAAATTAAAAGACAATAGAATTAAGAAAATCTGAACAATCAAAGGAGAGATGGATAATCGAGATGAGAATAAAAACCAAACAACATTTACTGTTTAGGAACAAATCATGACTCAACTTCCACCCAAATCACAGATGGAAAAGTAACATGTTGTCTACTCAAGTGAACAACAAAATTTGAACTAAACAATTAAAATTAATTCTAATTAATTGGGTAACAATTAAGAGAAACAATCAAATGAAAACAAACCAGAAAGATAATCCGATTGACCAAAATTGAAAAAACTCCCTCTTGGGGCGACATCTGCCGGTGGAAGAAAGAAACAAACGTTCGATTAATAAATCGATCATCTGATTGTTAGAGTTAATCAGATGGAGAAAGAGAGAGAAAAGAAAACATTTATAATGATGATGAGAATGTGAGAAGAAAAATATGAGAAAGAGAAAAAAGAGAGTAGAATGAATAATCTTCTGAGTCGATTCAATTCTTATTCCATGAAAGCGGCTTTCGAATAGTATTCCAAGTGGTTGTTTCATTGCCTTCGAACACCAAACATGGTAACAGAGTAAAATTTTCTTCTTTCTTTTTACCTTTTTCTCTCTCTCTCTCTCTCTCTTTCTCTTCTCCTTCTTACCTTTTCTTCATTCTCATAAAATCAACCGCATCTCAGCTGAGATTTTGATCCACCGCCATCATAACGAGTCCAAATCCACGTTCAACCCTTTGGCCTATTGTGTTCATTAGTTTCGTGCTTCTAATTTGTAAATAAACAAAACTGACCATCGACTGACCACCAAAAAAAACAACATCACCTTCATCATCAAGTGACTAATCAAACTTAATTGTGACAATATTTGGATACAAAGGGAACCTCAGCTTACACCAAAGGTAAGAATTTTTTTTTCTCGAGATTCTATCAATCAAAACTACCTTCATGTTGGTAATCAGTTGATTTCATGATTATCATGATTGTCTAATTCAAGCTAAATTGTCCAATCGAATGTCAAAATTACAAAATTAAGATAATCACATAACAGAAAACATTTTGATTGTTCTGATGCAAACACTTATCAGTTAATTGTCCAACGATAATCACACTGATTAAAAATCAACTGATTATTAAACATAACCAGAAACCCTAAAGGTTAATCAATGATTAATTGTAGCAACAAAATAAGCTCACGATCAAAAGTCACGTTAACCATTAATTGTTGTAAACCAATTTAATTGCTGAGAACAAAATGATTAAAAATTAAACAATAAATCAACCGGTTCCATAATTAACCTAAGTAGTTAATTGAAATTTGCGAGAAAAAAAAATTACAATCAACCGAATAGCCTAAAACTTAATCAGCGAAAAGTGTTTAACAATTAAAAATTGTAACAATTATGTGACCAATGAAAACAATATAATCGTTGGTATAATTATTAATTTACTCGTTAATTGTCAAGGTGAATTAATTGATTAGGTAACTAATTGATTAAGGGAAGAAAACACTTTAAGGTCTGATGATTGTTTCTCAATGAAATTTAATCATTAATTTGATTATCAACTGTAAACTTGAAATAGGATAACAGATTAATGATTAAGTTAATCATCAACTATCATGATGAAATTTACTAATGATGATGATAAGAAATGATTATCATCATGATCGCCTTGAGATGATAACAATACATTGGGAGGAAACTGATAATCAGTTTGATATTATTTTTCACTCCCATTTCATTGGGAGTGTCATTGGGGAGTGATAATAATAATCATGATCATCATGAAGATAATAATAAATGATTATGATGAGTGGTTAACCTAATTCACTTCAGATATCAAACTAATTACAATCATTCATGATGATCGTCATTATGTTAATATGTTATCACTTTTCATGAACATGAATAACAATCATGAGGAAGAGCAAAGAAAAACTCATAAAAAAGGTCACTAGGTAGCAAAGATTACATGAGAATCATGAATTCACCATGAACATGAGATGAAAAAGAAACTAAAATTAGAACAATTTGTTTGTTAGAATTAAAGTAAATTCCAAATGTTACAAAGTTCCATCTTCTTTTCGAGTTGTTAATTCCAAGTTTTTCTTGTCTTTTCGTTGAGAAATTCTCATGCATGTTATCATGAATTTCGTTCTGCAGTGATATCGAATATCTTTCTCAGCATTTTCTTCTCAATTCATGACATTTATATACATGGAGAGAGAGAGAGAGATTTTCTGTCTTTTCCAATTTTCTCTTCTCATTGTTGTTCATGTATATTCTTATCACCTTGTTATCATCATGTGTTCTCGTAAAGCCAATTACTGAAATTGCTGAGCTTTGAGCTTCCAGAACTGAGCATATTCAATCAACCTTGGAACTTGAGAAAAAGGAAAGAGAAAAGAAAGAAATAAAAACCAATGGCGACAAAAGAGAGAAAAGAAAAAGAAAAATTCTTGATATAATGATGAACAACTCAATATTTCATGGTTATATTCTCATCTTCTCATGGAATCATATTAGTTGCTGGTAAATTGCTGACTTATTACTTTAATATCAAGAATATGATTCAAGGTAGAAAATGGAATTGAAAAATTGTGAAAATCTCTTGAGAAAATAATATGAAAAGAGAGACGAAGACGAAGAAGAAGAAGAAGAAAAAAATTGAGCTCAGATTATCTTCATGTTTCGTTTATATTATTATCATGAACATGAAACTTTCCATGAGAAACTGTCAAGAAAGTTATTGTTATCATGAAGAAGAAAAATTTTCTCTCCAAATTGATCATCAATGAATTATTATCATCATCATTATACTTATTCATCATCTCCATGACAATCATGAATTCATTTCGCCAAAGATATTGACATGATTGACAAAACTTTCTCTCAATAAAAATGCTCAACAATCATGATTATAATTCATGATTACAGATTAAATTGTTACAATCATCATTTATTGACGACTTACTTTTTTTTCACCATTAATATCAATCAATTTCTGTCAATAATTATTAATCATTCATAATTAAATCTCTTGTAATCTAATACAACATAATAATGATTAAGTTAATCATTTAGTGGCGTTTAATTGAATTCATGCTTCATGATTGACTGAATAATTTCAATTGAATTTTAAATTGGAAGAGAAAATTTTTTTCCTCATTTTCTTTATTCATAATAATCGATATGAATAATTCAATTTCAATACAACATTTTAAATTGTTCATGATTACACTTTAATCATCGGTTGACAATCAATCGTATTTACTGTTGATAATATTTATTCAAATTTCCAAAGGTTAAGAAACAAAATAATAAGGTCAGAATCTCATGTTAACCATGAGATAAACAAAAAAGTTCATGATGATGATCATGTTTTCCCTGAATAATTCATTTGATATGACAAATTTTTCCCTCCTCCTCCGGGTTCATCTTATATATTATCAGAACAATTTGTCTCACCCCTCCCATTGAATCTGATTCCTGAAAAATCAACATGATAAATATTCAGGGCGTTTCACCGGGAGCATAGTTATCATTTGTCTCTCTCACTTTCTCCCCAATTTTGAATCATTCATTTTCATGATGATGAATTTAGATGATAACTGAAGTTGTAATAGTAAGATTTTCAATCACCTCAACTGTTTCAATTAGTTAATTGTTTCAATAATCATGTTTACTTCAAGTGAATTGTGATTCCATTGGTGATAATCATTAACATGAATCAATATTTTCAATGTTTATCTTTGAGTTTTCCTATCATGAGCCCTGATTTTCATGATCGCCTTGATTGTATCTCTCTGATGATTTATTTATACTGTTAACAATTTATTGATTATCGGTTTATCGATAATAATTTAATCATAATAATAAATAATCATTTTTTTTTCTTCTCCTCTCTTTCTGATCATTGTGTTAACTCATAATTCTTGTATTATTATCAACTCACCATGTCATTGATATTATTACCATGATTATTATCATGATGATGTTTATGATGATTACTATTATGATGATATTGTCTTTGTAACTTTATTTTCATTCCTATGTGTAATATTTATCATCTATGCTGATGATCAACACGATAATCCCCATTTCATGTTGATAATGTTGCTGATAATATACAAAATAAATAGATTTCCTCATTCCTCAGAATTGGAATACAATTTTTACTCAGTTACCATGAAAATACATGATTACATGTATGATACAATCACCCATCAACTCCCTTAAGTCCAACCTCTTAAAACTTATCTCTCATCTTTATCATCATCATCATAATTTTATCTCTCTCATGATGATAATGATGAAAAATATCTCATCTCTCTCTCTTTCATTCATTCCTACGTGACCTGATTCTAGCACTTACAGGGGATTCAACACAAATACTAATACAACAATCATTTCAATTTAATATTCAAGAGATGAAAAAAGTTCAGTGAATTCAGAGTTAACCATGTTATCAATGTCTCTTCCATGACATTTATCCGCTTCGATGAGATCTCCTTTTGTCTTACTGATTACAATCAAATTATTGATTTAACTTTAAGCTTCGTCATCTCTACGACACTATGATGATATTGATTTTTTACCACCCACCCCACCCACTCAAATCCACCCTCTCCTCCTCCTCCTCCTCCTCCTCCTCTTCATCCATTTTCATAATAATCATTATCTTGGAAAATTTTTCCCTGTTAATTTGCTGACCAAGGTCAGTTTTTGTTATTCCTGTTGGTGTTGTTGTTGTTTCTTGAATCCACTTAACTTTAATGGTGACAATTTAATGATTGTCAAGAAAATTTGATCACAATTAAAGTTTTTTTTTTCCTCTCAATTTTTCTGCAACAATATTTACATTAATTAATCAGTTTCCTTTCATGTAACAATTATGATGAATTTTTATTAATTACTTTTAATCATTTTGATAATTAATGCTAATTGTTTATATCCATTATCAGTCAACCATTAATGTTTACAACTTGTAATTATCAAATTGACACTTGAAAAGCCAATTGAATTTAAATCGTAACTAGACAAACTATTTACAATTTAAATTTCTCTGGTTTAATTAAAGTACAAAACATAATATTTGAATATCTTTGTGATTAGGATAATCTTTTAATCCTTAAGATTATCATCTATTAGTTGAATGAATGAATTTCATGAATTGAATCATTTGTTGACAGTTTCCATTTTCAGGGTTATAACTTTCATCATGATTAAAATCAGTTATCAGATATTAATAGAAAAAAAAGTTTCAACATGACTTCTTGAACATGAACAGAACTCATAATATCACATGAACATGTTAGAAATCAGAGTGTTGAAGATTTTGAGAGAGATAAATTCATGAGAGTGATGAACAAGATTCCATGTCATTTTCCATGTACTTCGAACTCTTCACCAGCCCTATCCAGTAAAATGTTTATTGTTCTTCGATTATTTTCCAACCTTATGCTACAATGTTACGATTTAAGTTCTAAGACGAGAAATGATGACGAAAATACTGATGATTAGATGATAGAAAAGAAATCGAATAGAACTTTATACAGAAAAATTCAGCTACTTTTCCGTTTTCTTTGTAAGATAACTCGAAAATCACTTGGATGTACATATCCATATTCAGTCTATCGAAGTTTGGTCAATACTTGTTCGTCATAATTAAGGTCACAAAGGTTATTTGAAGATCATTTGAAGAATTTTTTGTGGGACCTGTGAAGTTACATTCGATTTGTGACAAAGGCTTACAATTTTATTTATTTTCTGTAAAAAGTCATAACAAGTTCTTGATTTGAGTTCAATATCAGCGTTTTTTTATCATGTTATCAACGCATTACTGCACAATTAGGCCTACAAAAGTATTAGTTCTAAACTCAAAGAATTTTTCATGAATA